CCCCAAAACCCCAAAACCCCAAAACCCCAAAACCCCAAAACCCCATTGATGGATTCACAGATTGGAAACTTGAACAATGAATTTTTCATCATGGATAGTTCTGAATACATCAAGATTTCACCAATATCTCTTTATTTAGAGGAAACCTTGATCTTTGCCTCAGATTGAGTGCCCATTGCGAAGCCAATTCCTTCGTGCTGGAGGTCTTCTTGTGAGAACTCCCAATTCATGTGGGTGACGAAGTAGGCTAAAAACACATTCAGCTCTAATATGGCAAGGGACTGGCCTGGGCAGTTTCTATTCCCAAGACTGAATGGTCTCATAGTGTAAGCATCAGCTACCTTGCCTATAAGAATTGTCAGAACACTTCGTGTTCTCCAGTTTTCTTTGGAGATTAACTTCTGCTAATGAATTTTATAAAATTTTGAAAGATGTTATTAAATTTAATTTAATTTGAACCTGGTGAGTAAGTCAAATCCTTGCTCCATCTTTCAAAGCTGATAAAGAAGGAGGCTATACAGTTTTTGCACGCCAGAAAACAATTTGTTGAATACGTCTCCTCTTCAAACACGAGATTCCAAATTTTATTACATATGGTTAAAAAGCTGAAAGCAGGCGAGAGTTACTTCTATGAACTACTTCAAAAGATATTTTTTCCCCTAGCCAACAATAAAGCAAAGAGATTCCTTAGAGCTTCGTGTTAATAAAGTACACCTAGCAGGCTCATAAAGATTCGAAAACAAACTCATCAGAATTTTGAGGATCTTGCTATGGCTTTATGCCAAACAAAGCTAGCAGATTTCTTTAGTTCATGAAAACTTCTGATTTGCATTGATACATCAACTAATTTTTAATAAAAGTCGCTACTTATACATCTTCACTGATACACTTCAGCTCATTTAGCGAATCTACCTAGAATTAGGAGTAATATATTTGAATATGTAATGAGCCCTCAGATTACCAAAAGTTGACTGTATATTATCATCTAAGATTTTGCCAGAAATACTTTATCCCCTGCCCTAAGCCTAGCTCCCAGCCATCTCTTCCACCAGGCCAAGCTAGCCTGCCTTTGCAGCAAGCGGCCACGGCTAGGAGAAGCTTGGAGGGTCATAGTCACAAGGCAGTGGAAGGTCAGCCCGGAGACAGGTTTTGGGAAGGAGAGGAGAAGTTGAAGTAATGCAGAACTCCTCTACAGGCTGATAACTTAGTTAAGTTGGACTCTCTCAGGCTTATCAGTGTTTGTTAGTCAGTCAGTCCTTAATATATTGAGAGGGTTAAGCTACTGTAATTATATGTTATGATATCCACAGTCTTGACCAATTCTTTGGATATTCTTCGGGGTTTTGGGGTTTTGGGGTTTTGGGGTTTTGGGG